CATAAGTTAACTTCATCGAATCAGCAGACGTTTTCAAGTTTGAAAGCACTTGATGGTGGATATCATCCATACTTTCCGATAACACTTTCACAAACTCTGACACATTCTCAGGCAACTCTTCATAAGGTGGGTGTCCAGTATGCTTGGGTCCCCTTTTTGCACTACATGTACTGCATGTCCGGCACAATTCTTCCACATCTCGCCTCATACCTATCCAATAAAATCTTTGTCATATGTGACTCAATGTCTTCTTGATTCCGAGATGTCCTTCTGTTAAACTATCATGGGATTGACGCAACAATAGATTTGATCCAATATTCCACAGTAAAATATTGTTACGTCTCTGTTCGTTAGTTAATTTTCCGTAAATTCGTTCCGACGAAACTTTAGCAACACAAGTCCTTTCTTAATAAAACTGGTTTATTCTTTCTGAATATAACTTTGCGATATACTTAATTTCAACAGTCGCGCTATAACAAACGTCTCACGTGCTCGACTTCAATTACACACTCTCTGACTGCAGTTCAATTACTAATTACACTGTTGTCCCGTCACGTTGTGAACATCTTATATATACAAGACTAACACAATCTAGTAAATGCTAGGGCATTCTTGAAGTAACAGGATATTTCTATAAACAGGTAGCGTGATACTAGTCACGTGACCTTGCTGACGCAACAATATCTTTAAGGTAACTAACGAAACATGAGAAACTAGAAACTTCAGTTGAATAAACAAAGTGATTAAAATTAGTGTTCGAAAGCAGAGGTAATGGTGTGTATTAAAAAGTTGAAGAACAAATTGATCATAAAAGTTTTTTAGACTTTATACAGTAACCCACGAAACTCTGGAAAAGAGGAGAGTATGAAATTCCGTTCAAGACATTGACAGCAGTTAGATGACACAAAATGGCCAAACATAACATTTTACGTTGCTCTGATTGTTGCTCTAAGTATAAAAATGATATTAGTGAGAGGGCGCTAGGAACTTCGCGAGATAAACTAGGAGAGTAAGTTATAAAATAAGAAAAGAGAAATGGTTGTTCGTCGTGTGGCAGTGATTGACGAACTGAAATGGGTTAGTCCGAAGAAGTTTTATTTACGATTCTTAACTTCTTCGTTGTCTTTATACTCTTTATTTATCTTGGATTTTTAAAGTTTAAGTTAGTGTTAGTCTTGATTCTTGCATTTAAATTTTAGTATTTATGTAGAAATAAAAAGATCCATATGCTGTATGAATGACCAGTAGTACTAGTAATATCATGAACCACTATTGTGGTTCATGACAGAGATTGCCTATTTGTTCTTCTTTATTATTATTTAATCTTGTTCCACCAGCTTACAGCACAAATGGTTGTGAGTGTGAGTATTGTAATAAAACTTGGGCAGTGTTACTAAATCATAAATGCTTCATTGTGTGTGTTGTGTAGGGTAGTTTAAGTGTATTTTGGCTTTCTAGCAAATAACAGTAATTGTATAATCTTTCACACTCAATCGTTTTAATGTAATATATAGTTTATATGGAGACTCAGTCTATTACATGCATATGTATATGGCTACATGCAGGCTGTGGATGTATTTTAAAGTTTATATGGCAGGCATTACACATTTATTGTAGCAGTTATTGACTTCTTGTTGCAGTTGTATTGATGTTATATATCATTTGTTTATATATATATAGGGTTCATGCCCATTCAGACATGATGCTGCCTACAGGATCACAGTTTTTCTTTACCATTGCATGATCTATTTCAGCCATGTTATACAAATGTCTAAAATAATGGTTGGAGACGGCTTGAATGGGTAATAAAGAAAAAAATTTAATATAAGTTTAACATAACAGCAAATGTACAATGTTTCAATGAGGTTTTGTCATCATCACTACCTGATGATGACAAAACCTTGTCGAAACATTGTACATTTTCTGTTATGTTAAACTTATATTAAAGTTTTCCTACCCATTCAAGCCGTCTCCAACCATTATTAGTCTCAAAGTGGGTTCCTCATCATCGAAATGTCTAAAATGTTTTGCAAACATCTAGGTTTTCTCCCACAACAGAAATCTTTAAGCCATAGTTTTAAAGATAGCACCAAGTTCAGTTTTGAGGGTTGAATCAGTAGTCACGGGGATGGCTGATAGTAAGCATTGAATTATAGCCAAAATTGCATGATTGCAAGTTTTATAGATACTGCAGATACAGTAGCCAGCCTTGAAGCTGACTATAAGTAGTGGCAAGAATCATGCAAGCAGTAGATGGCAAAAATAATGGAAATTCTAGGTGAAAGTGAGGCAGAAATTTTGTAGCTATATATTTATTTAGAAAATATTTAGTTTCTGATAAAGTATGCTGTAGCAATAGCCCACCAGAGTCTAGGGTTGTCATAGTGGAAGGGGGTCGTAGACGTATCTTGACCGAAACTCTATCAGAAATGAAGGGGGGAGGGTATATTAATATAATCAATTCATAATTGTTAATTAACACATTTTTGACCTTGTAGAATGTGCAGGATGTTACTCTAAGAGGAAATCTGGCCAACTGCAGCAAAACCTTGACTGGCCTTACTATAGCCAGCAGAGAGGAAAGGGGGAAGTATAACAGCTATAAGAATTATTAAAAATGCTTATTTGTATACATATGCTATTATATTGTGACACATTGTTGTATATTTGCATTGAATATATACATATATATATGCTGGTATACTTTGGTGACAGATTTTCTTGTAGGCAGATTTTGTTAAACAAGACCGATGTCTGTAGGTTTACTTTCTTCTTAGAATTCTTCTCAAGAAGTCGATAAGCCGTCTTAACTTTGTTAGAACAACGGGTGAAAGTTGTAGTTAGTGATGAGTTGGCCGACGCGTTTCGAATGCGTTCTGCATCCATTATCAAGGCTGAATGTTGTGCACACATAAAACTTTCTTTTAAGAAAAACTCAATAACGAGCAAGTTGTACTGAAAGAAATACTCAAAAAACTTTTTAAAATGCTGGACGTTATCTACTCCCTACTTAAACCAAGTTTATATATTTTCTTGACTTTTCATGCAGAGTTACTCAATGGTTATCTATGTTAGCTGCTCCTAATTTTGAGGAGAAAAACTACAGGGAAAACAGCTAGTCAATACCTCAAACACTTAGGTTATCTTTGTCAGACCAAATAGTCACTCTTGTAATACACATTTCAACCTTATAACATTCAATTTCAATACTGCACATTTCTTGGAAAGTAGTCCAAACTATCAAGTAAGATATGTACCACAACAGACCTAAGACAATTTGCTTTTAAAAAAGAAGCATATAGCCAATACAATGGTGTTCAAACTTGTTACTTTAACAAAAGAGAGAAGAAGAAGAAGAAAAACAAACTCTTCTATATTTCAAAACTGACAATTGTAAATCCTGACGATATAATTACCTATTGGTGTCAAAACTGGTTCAGCAGTTTGCAGAACAGCTCCTTCAATGATTTTGACCTCAGATGGTTCAATTAACTGAGGCCCATCAGCAATCTGCAAGATTTCCACTTTTTGAAAACTTCTTCTAGATTTTCTACTATCTTCCTCTGCTGTAGGAGTGGTTGGTTCCTCCTTTTGTGAAGATTCTGAAGATGACTCATCTGACTGAGATGCCTCAGTGGAAATTATGGTAGGACTAGTATCATTACTATTTTCCATACTGGAATCAGGTTGAGGATTAACTGGAGTGTCCATGTTTTCAGTATTACCACTACTTTCTGTTTCCTTACTCACTTCACTCAAAAGCTCTTTAGGTGGGGAATTCCTGAACAACAAAACAAATTAAACATATAAATGTTCCTAAAATTAATTTCATCAGGTTAAAAATTAGATAATGTGCATGCAAAAGTATCAGCAAGTACTTCATTTCTACTTCACAAAATACTATCTCTTGCATTCACTACAGTAACAATTGCAAAACATAAGTAAAGAAAGCTTTACATGGGTTGGTGAGACAATTACACAGCAATCGAGGTTTCTCCATAATAGTACGACTGATTGCAAAATTAATAATCATTTGAAAAATTTCTATTTAAAACAAAATTCCCAGAGATATGATAAACAAAAACTTCAGTTGATCCTCTGAAAGGGTTACATTTATGAATTAAAATGCTTACAAATAAATCATTAAATTCACATTATTTTCATAAAAAAACAAAAACATAAATTAAAAGAGTAAACAAATACAGTAATAACATTACAGAAAACAACAACAACAAAATCAAAACTGAAACTGAATCTCAGTGTAAATAAGCTTCAATACTAGATTACACAAGTTTGTAAAATAAGCCCCACTTTTCTCGCATATTCATTTTACTGTAAAAATTGTGCTCAGTCATCATGATTACACTCTCTTGGAATGACTGTTGTGAGCTGTTCCCTAAACCATCTTTCTTAAACTATCATTATAAATATGAACAAAAATTACAAAGTCATTCTGTAAGTTTTTTAGTAAGTCTGAGCATGTGCACACTACATGTTGCTAGAACTTATGGTAAAGTCTCGACTTAAATTTAGTTATTTTCACATGTTAAAAAAAAAAGCACAACCTCTTAAATTAAGTGATATGTCTTCTTTTTATAATTTCTTTGATTTTTTTAGTTTTGAGAAAAACATTTACAGTTATTTACTTATTATTTGTATGTTTATAGTTTTATTCTGTTACTTACTTTCACATTGTCCTGTAACTTAAAACTAATTTAAAGGTAGCATTGTGTAATTATATATTAAGTATTATTATATTTATATTTTATTTACCTGTTGTTTAGTTGAACTGTCTTTCAGATTTGTTTATGCAATTCAAATCCCAATGGTGTTAACTAGTCTTAAAGTGGGACAAAAAGACTGATACTGGGTGGTGCTGAAGTCTTTGTCATGGTAGCTACAGATTTGATATTTAAATTCTTCAAACTACACTCTCAACCCGATGCTTTTTGGATGCCCCTTCCTTTTATTTAGATATTAAAATCCTAGCTGAAGCAAATTATTTTAATGTAATTTGTACCACAACCTTTAAAATGCTAAGTTGTTTGAGGAATACATCAGTTTCATAATGTAAAACAATAATTATGCTGTTTTGCCAATTTTTAATTCTGGATTTCTTTTTCTTTTCAGTTTTAGCAATGATGAAATTTGCAAAGTCTTTCAGTGATATTTATGCTTTATCGGTCAGTTAAAGCAACTATACTGGTAATTTCAAACAAGTGTAAAAATAAATGTATCATTATGGAAACTTCGATTAAACCTGTTTAATAAAAATCTAATGATATTTAGTAGCTGATATAAATATGTTGTGTTAACATTTATGAAGTGCATGATTATTTTTATTGTAATTAAAAAACAATAAGCAAATTGAATATAAAAACAAATTAACACTTTGATAACAGCCATTATATTTCTTGTAAGTTTGATAGTGAAGATAATTTTCCAGATAGAAAATATACAGAAATAAACTATGACCCTTTGTTACATTGACCTTTGTAACACAGGTTTTTTTAAAGACAGAAGGTATATTATGCATATATTCCCATTATACTACATCAAGTTATTTTATTTATATATGCAAGACAGCCTAATTTAGTGTACTATATATAACTATAAGAAAATCAGAATATATATATTTTTGTATATGTCAATACCATTGCTTGTATTTATTTTAAAATTATAATGCATTTATATAACTAAAAAAAACTGTTATTGAATGAATTTAAATATGATTTACGCCTAAGCCATATCTGCCAGGTAAACTGAACCTTGTAAGGTGGTATTAGATTTATGACTGAGGATACTTAGAAGTGATAGTACTCAACTGTTGATTAGATATAAATGTGAGTCATTATAAGTTATTATTGCATGAATATACAGATTGATGTCAATAAATTTTTTTCTACAACGTATGACTAAAAGTCAGTAATGTCATAAAAGTAAACTTTCAATGGTTGAAATTACTATTTGGTAATGGTGTGCTGACATTTTCTTTTCAGTGAATAATTCGAACAGTGTTAAAGTTATACTTTTATATATTAATTATATTATATTTCTAAACTGCATTCATAGTGATACATACATATACATATGTTTTAAGAGAAAAAAGCTTGTTACTCAAGATGGAGCAGTACCAATTGCTGAAGACTAACTCATAAAACTGGTATGCCAACCTATACATGCAAGTTCCAATACTCTATGATTATAAATGCATACTTGTGTAATAGTATTCTTTCACTTTCAAAAATGCTTGGTGTTACGTTTAACATGTACACATATCTAGCTTTCAACAATAACAGCTCAATAATTCAATAACCCCTCAAAGAATAAACACTAACAACTTGCAGTTAAAAAAGCATTTTTTACTGCCACCAAAGCAAAATTATAACAGAAAGAAATGACATTTCTTTCCTATATGCAGTTAATGAATGTTCATGTTAAAGAGTTCATTTTCTGTTCACTGCTTATCTTGAAATGTTAGTAACTGATGAGGATGGAAGGATAGTCCTTCCACATCCCTCATATGATCCTGATTCACAATCCTATCACTTCCAAATTTTTAATCCTCTCAAAGGATGAACAACATTCTTTTACAATTGATTTTTAAAAACCAGCTTCACAAAGCTGGATTTGTTATATCTCATGTGCAGTTTACCAAACTGCTGTAATACACTTCATGAAACAATGGAGGAAATGCCATGTAAGTACCAGATATTTTGTTAAAAAGTAATGTTTGGTTGCTTATAAAAATTGTTAACACTAAACAAAAATAATTAATGTCTGTTTTTGGTTACAATCCGATATGCTTCGTGAGCAGGAAATAAATACTCCTTCTTTCTGAACAATTCTTATAGATGTCAATCCCCTTACTCTTTTTGTCCTTGTTCTATTTCTTCTGTATCTCCTGATATTAACAATGATGGTTCCTGTCTCTTTGGAGTCTGTCCTCCTCTTGGCTTATATGCTTCTGCAGCTGCAGTTATATGCTGCAACCAACTGTCATAGAATGGTAAAAATAAGACAATTTAATAACTCAAACCAAAGTAATCTACTTATATACAAAAACATTGTGAAATAAGTTATAAATTACATCACTGAAAGTTCAAGTTTAACATGCTAAGCTAAACTAATACTTGGTTTAAATCTTTATGCCCAGAAATAAATAGCTTCTTTTCTTCATTCTAAAAGTTAACTTAAAATTTGGAGAGACTAATTTCTCTAGGACCAAAAAATACAAAAATTATCATTCAAACACTGAATGACAGTATTTTGATTTCCAGCTGAATCTGGCTGAACTAGTAAAAAATAATATCCAAGTATAATTACAGTAAATTCATACCTTGGAGAACAACAGAAACACTGTTTGCAAAGATCATCTTACTGTACAAGTACCTTAAGAATAGTTCAATTCCTTCATCTATATACAAATGGTTAAAAATTCTCAATCATTTTGTTCCTTTATGATTTTATATTAAGATGTTAAATTTCAGTATGTGAGAATTCTTAAATATGTAGTACTTGTTGAAATCCTGCTATTAGATGCAGTTGTCTAAGCTTATGATCTTAATATTCATGCTCAAAAATATTAGTTTTTTAAACATAATTTATAGCTTTTGGGCACAGAGTGTAATTGCCCACACAAAAAATACATTTCATTACAGTTTTACTGAATGATGCTTAAATTGAATATTTTATTAAATTTCACTTTTGCACTCTGAATTTGACTCTTAAGATGATAAATCTTGTAAGTTGGTTGATGAACTTTATCTTCAAACTGCTACATCAGAAAAGCTAGTAAGGTTACATTTATAGTAGTGACTTGACTTTCCACTACCCATGAACATACATGAACCACAAAAATGGTTTCGTAAATTGGTGGGAAAGGGATAAAGCAATATATACCCAGTATTTCTTAGATTTAAAATTAATAATAATACTGGTGTCGTGAATATTAAAAAATTATGCTTTTTGTACATATATGCCAAAGTGGAGATCAGATTGTTTGGGGAAAAGAACATCCATAGGATGAAAGAGTATGAATAAATTTATTAATATATCAGAAGTTTCCATCCACATACATACATTTTTCTTTCAGAAGGCGAGGCAGCTAGAAATTCATAAATGGCATGTTGTTCTGATGTTGAAACAAGGAAAAAACCCCTCTCATCTGTATAAAAATAAAATATTTTCCAAAAACTTACATTTTTCAGTATTTCAATGAAAATGTAAATAGAAAACACTAAAAAATGTAATGTTATTTAATTTTGATGTATTACATAAAACTTTTTTTGGCTTACAATCACTCAGAGGCTGATGAAGGCCTAGAGACAAAACACTGCTAAAAAATTTAGTTTTTTTGTTTAACTCTCTCAACACGGGCTCGGCCAATTTGACCGACCTCGTAACCACTTCTACTTGTTATAGTTTACATACTACTAACATTTAATATATTAAGTGTATCTTTACAAAATTTTGTAGACTTATAGTAAACGTTACAAGTCTTTTGCACACAACAAATCACATTTTTCAATGAAGTATTTTTACTTATATTTGTCCGTGAAAATATTGATTCTTTTATTTAACTAGTCCGAGTGTAAAGTGATTTTCATTTTAAGATTTAAAATACTTTTCTTTGTTTCAAAAATCTCACATTTCATTTGCATAACCTCTAAATCCTCATAAGTATATATATAACTTTTTTTCAGTAAAACGTTATATTTTATCTGTTATTACATTTATTATTTGATTCTTCAGCCTGTAGACAACTCATCGAAGTAAAATGAAAGATAAAATTGTAAATTCAGAAATGTAATGAGCAGCTGTTTCCTTTTTCTTCATTATTGATCATGAAGTTTCAAAGTACTTCCCCTGAAAGTTTCAACTGCTAAACATATCCCATATATTTTCTGTGTTTATTTTACTGTCAATGACAAATTACAAGCCCGCTGAAACTAAAGCAATAAATCACCGCACATGTTATAAGACTGTTTATGTACAACTGTAATACGAAACTCTCAAGTGCAAAAACGCATGTGTAATCAGTGAGGTGAAATTCCCCTTGCTCAAAAACGCATGTGTAATCAGTGAGGTGACATTCCCCTTGCTCCGAGAACACGATATGGGATATAGCAGTTTATGTTTCCTACAACAGCAATTTCCCAGGGTAATAAAATAGCAAAAAATAAAAACATTTATTATATTGTTCAGAATTGGGCTGATCCAATTGTTTCAGTTCTACTGGTCACCCATTTGATGTGTGTGGAATTTTGCAGCATAAGTATATGAAGGTGTTATTTGGACACATTCTTATAAAATCTACTACCCTCTCTCACTTTCACCACACTTATTTGCCAACCAATAGAAACTGAGGTTCCACTACCATCTTCTACACTGTTTTACTTTTGGAAGTCTTCTTTTACAAGCAGAGTATGTAAAATGCCTTTGGTAGTTACTTCAAAGTAAGTAATCATAATTTTTAGTACATATACATCTGTTCAATAATTTCAATACATATTTGTTGATAAAATCCAGTGTTGTTGTTTCTGTATATTAGCACATCATGTTGATAAAATCCAGTGTAATCGTTTCTGTATATTAGCACATCATGTACTCCTTCTGGAAAGTATGATACACATCACAGAATATATTGTAACATACATTTTTTCTTTTCTTTTCCAGTAAACAGCTTAGTTCAGGGTTCATCTTCCTTATTCTTGGGTAGTTTCTTCAAAGTAAGTAGTCATAATTTTTAGTAGATATACAGAATATCCGCTCAATAATTTCATATATATCTGTTGATAAAATCCAGTGTAGTTGTTTATGTATCTTAGTATATCATTGTATTCCTTTTGAAATTGATGACACACATCAGAGAATACACAATATATATAATATATATGTAATAATACACAACAGAGGAAACATGTAATACAAATTTAATGTTTTTTTTTCTTCTAGAAATTGAACCTGACACATTGAAAAGTAAAGCAAGAGAGCTGAAGGAAAAAAAAAAAAAATCAGTGAAGAAGAAATACAGTTTCTTCTAAATGTGTCCTTGTCTGATGAAGAAAGCATTCTGTGAGAGGAGCATGATGTTGATAAAGTTTCTGCTAATGTGTCAATGCCTTTGACAGAATCTCTATAGAACCAGATGCCAACAAAATCTAGAGTCAGCTCTTCTTGATTCTGTCTTATGGACAGATCAGGAAGTGGTTGGTGAAAGATCCTCATCAGATGAGGATGTTGTGGAATCACACAGGCCAGGTACATCAAGGCAACGTACACCACCATCACAGAGAAGAGGTAGGACAAAGAGGGGTAGGGAAAGGGGTAGAGCTACAGTATCTACTAGGACTGATCCTTCCCAGCAGGAGAGGCCTCTCACATGCAGTGACACTTGGACCTGGGTGCAAATCACCGAAGAAGAACCCACCCCACTTCTGTTCAATAGAGGTGAGCCTGTGTCCTGATGGGTAACCTCTACTAATACAGCTGTCGATTTGTTTAAATTTTAAATTTTATTGTTACTGAAACAAATCGATATGCACGATCTAAACAGTCACAGCAGGAAGGTGAACCCCCAAAGAAGGAAACCATAAAATAGACATATGTTACCATGAAGATATTTTAGCTTATTTTGGAGTAACAATTACCATAGGACTCAAGCCCTGTCCTTCTTTTTCTGACTATTGGTCTACTTATCTTCCTTTCCATAATCCTTGGTTTACTAACATCTTCTCTGGGGACAGGTTTTTAGCTATCCATGCTACCCTACACTTCAATAACAATACTAATGCTCTTCTTAGAACTGACCCTACTTATGACAAACCTTTTAAGGTTAGACCTGTTATAGACCGTCTACTAAAATCTTTTACTTCACACTATTCTCCTAACAAGGAACTAACCATTGACGAACAGAAGTTGGGCAGAAAATACTGAACTGTTTTTTTTTTCAGTACATGTCCAAGAAACCTGTCAATTGGGGCATCAAGTTGTGCATCCTGGCAGAAACTGTGAGTGGATAGTGTCTGAAATTTAAAATCTACACAGGCAAAGAGGGACAAATGCCAGCTAAAGGTTTAGCAGAAAGTGTTGTGATGGAAAGATGGACAAATACAACAGACTAGGACACTGGGTTTTCATGGACAATTTTTACACTTTAACTTGTTTATTTGACAAACTACTGACTTTAGGAACCTATGCTTGTGGGACATGCAGGAAAGACAGACTGTATTTCCCACAGTAACTGGTTTCTACAAACCCACAGAGAGGGAAAGCATGATTTTTTAAATGTGGAACTCTGACAGCTGTAAAGTGGAGAGACAAACGAGACATTTACGCACTTTCAACTTTACACTCTATTACTATGACAACTGTAACAAGAAGAGGAAGGGATGCTGAGATTACAAAACCTCAGTTGATTATGGACTACAATAAGATTATGGGAGGAGTGGACCTAAATGACCAACACTTAAGTTACTGCTCTACTGCATGATGGACAACAAAATGGTATAAAAAACTGTTTTTCTGACTTGACAGTTGTACAAAATACTGACCAACCAGCCAGCATTATCCCAGAAGGCCATCAGAATGGACATGGTCACAGCTCTTGTTGAGCCTCTACTTCAAAACAGACTAGGTCCTTTTGGTATAACACTCTCTAGAACTGTACAGAACTCATTACCTCTGAGACTTACTCTTGGCAGACACTTCCCTACACTTGCTGACACAGGTAACAGAAAAAGATGCGGAATATGTCTTCCTGAAATAAAGATCTTATAAAATGTGTGATGAATTTCTGTGTTTGAAACACTTTGAAAAGTATCACACTAGTGTTACTCTTAAAAGAAGTTAATACTATGTACAAGGTAAAAGTCTGCTCTTTTCCTTTGTAAACAGTTTTTGGTTTTAAGAAAAATAAACAAATCTTAATAGCATTTTTTGATTGTTTTTGACTTAAATATTTTTGTAAAGTTTTTATTTTAGTATTGATACACTTATATGTACAATAGTGATGCTCCCTTTCATGTGTCAAAATCAGTGTATAATGTTATTCTGTATATGCTATTATAAGTATGTTTTTTGCAGTTTTCTTAAATGTTTGTAATAGAATACATATCTATAAATTTTCATTCATTCATACAGCTTTTTCTTTGCAAAACGTCATGTGTTTGTTTTTGATTCATGCAACTACTAAATCCATTATTCCTTTTAGGCATGTATAAACACTTCCCAATATTTGTAAATTATTTTACCTTTCTAAATGTTATGAATAAACTTGTTTTAAAGTTGTCAAGTTTCTAATGTTGTATAATTTGGTTTTAACTTACCTCAGTTTAGACAATTAGAATAAAACAAATTCAGTAGGCATAACTATGTATTGGCCTACAAAAATACAAATGTAACTATAATACAAGTATACTGAAAATTACAGTGATATTTCAGCCACCGTATGTTACATATGCATATAAATATACATGTTACTATTTACTCATAAATGCTTAAATTTTAGTTATATTTCTTAAAACATAGAAAATAAATGAAAAATACACTGAAAAACAAAGATTTCGAGTATGTAACCCTGTTACAAAATGTTGCGTTCGTGCATCGAACTTGCTAAGCCTCGTTTATTCTTATGGGTGGAGAGTGTAGAGATACTAATTTTTTTAGGCTTAAAATATTAATTTTTGAAGACCAAAAAGTTATCAAATTACTGTATTAGAACACTCAAAATCCCTGTAATTTAGTTGTGTCTCTAAATAAACTATATGTGGGTTAAAGAAAATCCCATTTCAATTGAGAGCAATGACTTATTCATCACACTTCAATGGTTTTTGGCAAAATTATTATTTTCTCTTTCAAGCTATTTATAAACAACTGTAGAGTTACGTAGAGGTGAAAATGTTCTTTCTAATGGTTATAAACAGGAGCTAATTAGTAATATGGGGGACTAAACAAGAGCTTCCAAAAGATTGGTACAGTGGGAGGAGCCACTCTAGTAGACTTGCTAAAAATATTGCTATCTCAGCAAATCATAGAGGAGGTAGGTTCTTATTTTATATTTAGCTTGTCTATATTTCAAATTCGAGTTTCTAATTTGTTAGCTACTTGTAAATGTTTGTGTTGTATGGTGTGGGGCATAATAAAATGGCAACTGAACAATAAGAAACTAGATGTGTGATCAAAATCGAAACATACATAATATTAAAATTAAATTATAAACTATGTTTTGATGCCAATTTCAATGTAAGTAGTAAAAACTTTATTTAATAAAATTTTTAAAATAATGCTCCAAAACATCGTGACACATGCACTTTAACCTACCAGGGGCAAAAGGGTTAAGAGATAAATACAATAAACATGTTTACAAGTTCAGCATGTTAAAAACTATAAAACTATTACTTTTAGTTCAAATAACTTACTGTTATTACAAAACAAAATATTTTGGACTTATTTCAGATAAAAAAAAAATTTACCTGTAGCAACATTTCTAGTAAAAATATTCTGAACCCTCAAAATGGGGCTGTGGGTTACTTTTGTATCTTCTCGACCCGACATTAAGTTAGAATTGTGATATTTTAAAAGCAGCTTATCATCTTGTTTTTGGAGCAACACCAAGATGTCTTCAAACAGAACGACATGGATATCCAATGTCTTTTTAGGCAAGCGCCAGGTCAAAAGTCCTTCATAAATTAAATTGTGTTTGGTGAGGTCAAGATGCTATGGAAACAATAAAAATATGAGAAAAATTATATATACAATAAATATGTCAATAAATCACATAAAATAAAAAACTGTCTAACAAATATATATCTAATACATTTATGATGTTAGAAAAACATGTAGGTTCAAGAAGTCTTGATAGAAATGAATAAAAACCCTATAACTCAAGTGTTTTTGAAAGGTAGACTTTTCTTCTTCAGGAACAGACCTGGATTTATGGTGTAATTCAATGAGTGATATATATAAAGGGAGTTTAGTGATGTCATGAAAGTCATCCAGTTTTCCAGGAAATGTTGAGTCTATTTCTCTATGTACTGTTGTAAGCATCTCATTTCTGGTATAATGTAGCCAATGGCAAGAGAGTATGTGAAAAGGTGTTAGGGATATTTTACTTACGAAATGGCTAAATATATGTATATTTAAAACTATACTTAAGTGTTTAAGTAAAATAAAGGTGACACCTGGAGACAAATTGAAAAAGATATGTTAAGTTAATCAATTTATAAAAATACAGGTATGAAGAATTATCTTAAATAAACAGTAAGTTTTGTGAAATTCAGCATTCACATTATATGAAAAAAATAAGCAAAGAATAAAAATTATTTTCCTCACAGAGATGAAACCAAGAAACAGAAATCACTGATTCCAGGATCTAGATTAATTCTGTAAGGTTGAACAGTGTTTAGATTTGCAATCCAGTAAGCTTCTTTCATTTTTCTATCTGCTTTAGTTTTGAATCCTGTTTTAATGCCGATGAGAGTAACATCGTTAATGGAATGGTTGGTTAAAGTGTTGAGCAACAGGGAGATCTTTTTTTGGTGTTAATAGCAGATTTATGGTTGTTGAAACGTTTAAAGTGTTGAGCAACAGGGAGACCTTTTTTTGGTGTTAATAGAAGATTTATGGTTGTTGAAACGTTTAAAGTGTTGAGCAACAGGGAGACCTTTTTTTGGTATTAATAGAAGATTTATGGTTGTTGAAACATTCTATAAGAGTTGTTTGTGTATGTCCTACATATTAGTGATTGCATTTTTTACACTGTATAAGGTAAATGGTGTTTTTTGTTTCACAACAGATTTCTTTGGATATTTTAAAGTTTCTTTGATTGTGCTTGTCAGAAAATGAGTTTTTTATGAACTTGCAGGTTTGACAATGGGCTTTATTACATGGATGACAACCATTTTTGGGTGAGATGTAATTCACTTTTTTGTGAACAAGGATATCTTTTAGAGTTCTGCTTTTTTGGAAGGAGACAGTGGGAACTTTAGCAAATATCTGTTTAAGACGATCGTTGAGCTGTAGGTGATGAAAATGTTTTTCCAAAATTTGTGTTTAAACTGATAGGTAATAATAACAGTAATTCTATTTGAAAATTTAGTATTGCTCTGATTTAGGATGTTTTCCTGCTAGGTGTTATTAGCCTTTTCAATTTGTCTGTTGATTTCGGTTTCTTATCAGATGACCTTCCTGTTGTCACTAAACTTCCTTTATATATATCACTCATTCAATTACACCATCATTCCCAGTTTGCCCCTGAAGAAGAAAGGTCTACCTTTTTTTATTCATATCTAATACATTTGACAGGATAATATTAAGGTTGATCTTGTTTTAATTACAAGTACTTGTATGGATAACTTTTTATTTGGGTAATAATTATCACAACCATGCAGATTATATGTATACTTAACTATATAATTTTTAAAATATATATAAGATTCTAAATAACTATCATAAAGTAAGTTCAATAAAACAATTCCTTACTACTGCAATATGTTGCTGCATGCAAAGTGACTGCTTTTTTATTAAAAGTTTCAATAAAAAAACATCTAAATTAAGATAGAATGTTACTTATCTTTCTGCAATTACTTCTGTCACACATAATTGTCAGATATTTAGAGTACTCTAAAATATTTATATAAATATTTTCAGCCACACAAAGAAATGCAGATAAACAATATTTTATTTGAAATATTTTTGCTAATATTGAGTAACTTTCACTTTGCAAGTGTTTTATTTTGTCAAAAATTTCTGAATACTGATTTAAAGACCATTACATATATTGATGTGACTACTGAAAAATATTTTTAAAATTTTTATAGGAAATAGCCACAATCAGTTTGTATCACAGAGGAAATGTTGACAGAATTCTATTAAATCTATAACTAACTGGAAAAAACAAACAAACAAACAATGATTCAATCTGATTGGGTGTTTTTTCTTGACAGTACAGGAAATTTTAATTAAGTTTTACACAAAGTTCCCCGTTTATGTCAACAGGAAGTGTTTAGTATTACTAGTGTGTTCACAGTAATGAGAGACTGAACTTGGAGCTTAACTTATTTCTGTCAGAGATAACTCTTGCTATGCAACTAACTTTGTAGTTTTGTGTCACAACAGAATCCACTTTCTCAAAGGCACTTCGATCCATTCTCTTTTGAAGTTCGCAAAGCCTGTGGTAATTTTCAGCCTCTTTCACTGCTTGATTCACATATGCAAGAATCTGCTTGCTGCAGTCTACAGCTTGAAGGAGGTTTGCATATTCCTCTGTGTTTGCTGCAATTCAGAAGTATTTGAGAAATATTCCTTAGAATGGAGTACAAATTGATTATAGACTTTTATTATACTTAGATGAAATTTCTGTATAACATATTCCAAGAAATTATAAACATTCTTTAAATACAATATTTTTGGTTTTTATGTCTACACGATTAATAGAGAATTTTTAACATTTCTAATGAGCAACTTCTTTGTTAAATATCTATGTGTATACTTATAAAAACTTAACAAAATTTGTGAATTTTATTATCTCTAACACATACAATACAAATTGCTGTTTTTACAGTTCGGATATATAATTTCAGTCTTTTTTAAAATTTAACCAAAAATATTATGTATTTTGTGAATCAACTGTTTTCTGGATCACACCTACTTAAATAGATGTTTCTGAATTTTAATGTAGAAGATTTCTTGTATATTCATAGACTGCTAAAAGCAATGTCTAAGCAGAGAACCAAGATTTTTTGTATTTATTTATATTGTAATTATTAACACTGTAAATACCTAATTTTATAGCATAAAACAGTAAACCTGGCTTAATTTACTGAACTCTGTGCAAAACAATCAAGAAACTAAAAAAAAAAGATGTTTTTCTTATTACAACACAGGAATTTTTTTAAAATAATTTTCTGAACATTAATGTTAGCACGTTACTAAAATACATAGAATACATTTTTATAATACCAATGATCTATATATTGTTGGTTTAATTTTCACATAAATCTACTCAAGGTAAACATGCACTAGCCATCCTTAATTTAGAAGTGATAGACTAGATGAAAGGCAGCTATTCAACAAGATCCATCACCAATGCTTGGGATACTTTAATTGAATAGTGGGATTAAGTGTCACATTATAATGTCCCCACAACTAAAAAGATGAGCATGTTTGGTTAGAGACTACAAAGCTCTGTATATAAAACACTTGTGCAAATGATTATTAACTGATTTTGGACTTTAAAATTAAGAGTTGACTACACAGGTAGCAAAACACGCATGTATATTTTTAATTTTCACAATACATGTATATCTTTATATTTTTTTGTTTTTTGTATCAATTTTAAAAGATATGTGTGTCTATTTTAATGCATAATTCTTGCTCATGTTCATTTGAAGTCTTATGTCATGTATGTAAACAATGCTGTCTGTATTTAAGCTTGAAAAGAAAATAAGTGGGGTAGCTTCGCATGAAAGCAAAATGAAACTAAAACTGGATTTTCTAAATGTCAAATGTTATACATATTACAAAAGTTGTTAATCAGTGTCTTTTGCAGGTGAATACAACTGAAGTATTTTGTTTATTCCTTTTGGATATTTTCACAAAGCTATGTAGCCTAATATTAAACTGATAGGTTAGAGGAAATGAAACTAGTCAACAGTATTCACAGCCAACTCCTGGGATAGTTAAATTGAATAATGGGATTTGATTGTCACTCTTAGAACACATCCACAGCCCCAAAAGTGCAGGTCACAATTTTGAGGCAACAGGATATAAACTATAGTTCTTCAGATTCACAATCCAGCTACTGACCACTAGTTCATGCCCAGCCCTCAGATGAAATAATATCAAGAGTTTGATTTCTACTTCTTCTAATCAATAGCAACAACAAAAAAGTTAACTTACATCAAAATAAAAGAAAAACACACATGGACCCTTTTATCTTTTAGTTGCTAGTTTCTCTGTCCTCTAATTATTTCAACTTTGCATATTTATAATCCATACATTCAACAAATAGCATTTAAATGCTAAATCTGAGATTTAACTTTCAAAAAACAGCTTATTACTTACGTGCTGAATATTTTGCAATATTTTCAAGAAGTAATGGATACTTTGTGAGCCTTTGAAAACCAGTTACAATAATATCTTTCAACTGAAGTCTTCTACAGAGTGGTTGCATCTCAGCATCCTGATGCAGAACAAAACATACTCTTGTATTTGGCTTAAACTTATATTAAATACATGGAAGTTTGGTTTTGCAACTCTAAGACTTTTGTATAATATCATCATGAAATAGTTTCACATTCAATACACATGCCCTAGTAAATTTTTAGTATAAATAGTGACATATCAAAATACTAGAATGTACAAAAAAAATATTCTGATGAGGTATATCATGCATTTTATTTATGACCAAATTTATCTTCATGCATGCAAATATAGTTTTAATACTGATATGTTTCTTCTCAATACTACTATCAATTAACTGGATCTATGGTTAAGAAATCTTTATTCAGCTCAACCAAAATACAGTATGAATTGAATAATTTCACATGAGGTATGGGTAGCCTCAAAATAAATCTAAAACTTAATAACTCAGTAAACAGGTACATATGTTGTTTTACCTAAAAGTATGTCTCACATTAAAATTTGCAGTGATTGTTTAACATTGGTTTTGTAATGATATAATGCAATTTACTTTATAAACAGGTAGCCAATAGTAAACAAAAACATTTTGTACTTAAAAGATGTAAACAAAGTGAACTATTTAAATATATGTGCAGATAACTTGCATCATCTAGTACAACTATTTTGTAATTTTTTAGATGTAGCAAAACACACACAAAAAAAAGACTTACTGCCAAAAATTGTGCCAGTTTTTGTTCCTTGCGTTGCTTGTTTTTCAACTGTTCTAAAGCTACTGACTGGTTTCTACAAAATGTTGAGGCTGCTTTTTTTAGCCTTTCTCCAGGACAACCATTAAACTGAAATTACATTAACTGTTAAAAAAAAGTTTGGGAAATACATTTGAAAAACTCCAACACTATGATAAAAGATGATATTTTTGCATAAGTTAAGTAAAGCACCACAACATTAAAGCGCACAGCAACTTATGAAAAAAGCAACAGGCTCATTGAACAACTCTACATGTTTCAGCAGTATTCTGCTCCACTATCATAAGAAACATTTCTGATGTTTAATTTTCAATGAAACAGAGGTAGACATGACACTAGCAGTTAATGAAATTCATTTAACAAAGCATAAAGAAGAGTTTTTAAAAACGAATCTCTCTCCACACACTCTATATCTTTAACTATCAACACTGTATTTTGTACGAAGATTAAAGTAAATCACACAGTTGCATGCATTGAACAATGCCCTTTTTCCTTGCTTGATTACTCCATACTTTTCAGTAAGTTCAGTTAATTCCAATGTAAATTATTTATGAGGTGCAGAACTTTAGTCCGACACAGAGTGAACCATGATCAGGCTGTATTAAGCCTAACCCAGAGTGAGCCATGATTAGGCTGTATTAAGCCAGAGGGTTATAAGAGACACAGTACAATTTTCTGAGATACTACTAACTACAAAGAGGAATAAGTTTCTGCTAACTTATGTTGTTCTCTACAGAGTATGATAAATTAACTGAAGTATCACAATAATTTTTCACAAAGAAATATTTATGTGCTAACAATCACAAATGTAAATATGGTCATCCATTTGTAAATTTATCAATACTATTCTAGTTAGCTGTACATTAATTTTGACATTACCTAAGTTACAGTGACAGTGATTGCATATATATATCTAATGTGTTGAAGCATATAATTTGTTCCACTACTTGTCTGAAAAAAAAAATGCTTCATGTAATTAGAACAGTTCCAAATATTTTAATGACATTTTTCTTGCATTTTACTTTCTATCTTTCCAGATTGTAATGAACAAAGGTTTTAAGAAATAAGATTTTAATGCATCAATTCTTTCTCATAATCAATCAATCAATCATGTCTTCCTCAATTCTGAGGGTTAATGAGTACAGTTCTTTATTATTATTATATATTCTTCACTGCCAGAACCAATTTCATAATTCAAACTTACTGTCTCCAATCCATTTTCTCATGTCATCAAGCCAAGTGCATATCTGACTGCATTTTGCTCTTTTCCCTACAGTTTTACCAATCTTCATTCAGATCTAATTATATGCCCAAAATAATGTATCTTCCATTCCCTACATAATTTCCCACAATTATAATGCAATAACATTCAAACTAATTTTACTTACCAAATCTAATTTCCCATTGTTAGCTGATGGAACTAAGTTTACAAAAAGCAGTAGAACATATGTATGTCACCCAAATATGCTAAAATGTTTACCATTTGAAGCATCATTTCTCCAATATCACCAATTATTGGTTCTTCACGACGACGAATTTTCATCATTTTATTGAATCCACCATGTATTTCCAACATTTCGTCTAGATTGGGAAAGAGAAGTTGAAGCAGATCTGAAGGAAGCAGCTGTTCCTGCTGGAGTGGTCGAAAAAACAGCCCATCGAGCACTTTTAAGTTTCTAACATGGGTTCGCTCAGTATGGAACAATTCTGTAAAAAGTGAACAAGAAGACCACATAATTAAAATTGCAATATGCAGATTATTACTAAAAAAAAAGTTGTTAAGCGAGGAAATTTTCTAAGTTCAAAAGAGATCTGCATAAGAAAAATGTAAGAATGGTACTCATTTCCTGGAAACCAACAGAAATGGTGTTATATTTTTCTATATAACAAATGTCATTGATGTTGAACAAGCAACATATTCTTCACCTATATCCTCTGCTTCACTGATTTTCAAATATCTGTTAGTTATTTAAAACTTTCTAAAAAAACATTTAGTTACATCATAATAATTAAATGATGGGCTTCATGATTTTCCTCAACTGTTTTATTATCAACACAGGTACGTTATCTATCTAAAGTATCGCACCAGGTAACATTTTTACTAACATGGGTACATTTTTTGTCTATTATCTTGAAATAATTAATTTAAAATTAGATAATCTGTTGCTTTTTTTTAGATGCTAAAGATATATTACTGAAAAAGAATCTTGTTAAGCACGTACATCTGTTTTATATCTTGGCACCAGGAGAGCCACATAGAAAATGTTGTTTTTCATTTTTGAAAAATTGGAAATTTTATAATTATTACACAATGTCTAAAAAGTTGTCTCTTACTTCACTTGCATAATATCTTCTGTTTCATTGTGCTCTGAAATGTCATAATGAATGATCTTGCCATCTTAACTTTAACTTAGTATACTCCTGATAAAAAAGCTTTAGCCCTAAAAACATTAACCCTCAATACCATGTATACATATATAATATTGGGTAATTTTGTGTTCTTGCCTGTTAAAATACTTCATGTAAAGAACTGAAAAAACAAACTGGGTGAAATCACTGAATTTCTATAAAAAATAGATAAAAGATTCCAGCAGTAATTAGTATTGTTGCAAGTTGCATTTTGATCTTACAAGATACACTGTTATCTTGTGTTTAACCTGTATTGCTACTACAATTATATTATTCTGAGCCTGCATCAGTGCTTATACATGTAAGGGTTCTTGAAAATCACAAAGCATATGGACAAATATGGTAAGAAGAATATGCCAATATCAAGATTTTCTAATTAAAAAGAATTAAAAATGAAGGTCTATGGATCTCACCAACTCTTTAAGTAGTTTTTGTAATTAATCATGTACCAAATAGCTGGTGGGTTCATGAGTTTGTTGATTATAAGGTCCATAATAACATATAATATAAAATTTAAACAAAAATATGATCAATACTGTAATTAATCTCACAAACACATTTCAATCAATACATTTGACATCATTGAATGAAGCTTTTAATAAAAAGACTCTATGTCAAAATATCTTAAGTTCAAAATTAGTTGAGGTTTGACATAGTACAATGTTTCTTACTTGAACTATAAATGACTTATTAATTCTTTTCTTTGAGTAATGAGGGTGCATATGTAGAAATTTTATTTCACCCTGATGCTTCTTGAATGAAGCTTTTAATAAAAAGACTCTATGTCAAAATATCTTAAGTTCAAAATTAGTTGAGGTTTGACATACACAATGTTTCTTACTTGAACTATAAATGACTTATTAATTCCTTTCTTTGAGTAATGAGGGTGCATATGTAGAAATTTAATTTCACTCTAATGCTTCTAAGTAGTTTATGAATGTATTCTCCAAAAGTGCAGTTTTTAAATTTAAGATAGAAAAAAATAATTTCTGCTATTTTGGTCCATAGCTGTAAGGAATGATGTAAACTCAATGTGTTCTGTAGAAGCTAATCTTTTTAGAGTTTTTAAAAGGTTTCCTATTTTGTGAAGTATGGGTTTCACTTAAAAATCTCCATCAACAAGTAGAGCACTATGTTTTTATTTTGAGCTCATTTAGATTTGTCCAAATTAAATCAATCAGTGATGTTGGTTAAGTGTGTATAATATGCACTATTTTCTTATAAATTGATAAAGGAATGACAATCATTCTGGAGAAGGAACTGTCTAACTCGATACATTGCCTTATTCATCGAGATATTTTTATTCAGTATTTTTGTGAAAATTCAGGATGATTTAACTCATACTAAAGAAAAACATTATTTCTTTTGTTTACAATTTTCTTTTCTCAGTACAAAAATGACAAAGAGCAGTTGGTAGTCTTTTAGTTTCAATGCTGAACTTAATATGAGGATTCTGTTTATTAAGGTGAGAATAAAATTTCATAAGGCTTTCTTATGTGTCATTCCACAAAAACATCATCAACACGTAGAAACTCTTTCTGTGGCGTGTAGTGAGAAGATGACAATTTTTTTTTACATTTCTCTATAGAAAGATAACATAAGATGTTATTAGATCTACTGTGCTAAAAATACTCCACGCCAAGACTGTATCATGACAATACCATCTTAATATATGAAGTTATATGCAATACTTACTATTTCATCTTGATTAAAGTAACTAACTACTTATCACATGTCAAATTCTTAAGATTCATCCAAACAAAAGTCTAGCTGGTTATGCTTTGTATTACAGGACCACACTATGTTTTCCACTCACTTAGTTAATATGTTTTTAATTATTGCATTTTTCATTGTTCTCTGTTTGCATGCAGTGAGACATTCAAGTAAGTTACTTCCCTTTATCTTTCACTTGAAGCCTGCTGTGGTTGTGTTCTTTGGGCTATTATCCATATTTTCTTACATAAAATACAACTAGTTATGTGATTAAACACTTATTTTTCTTGTTGGTGAATTGGATAACAGCTAAGATCAGCCACACCCTTTACAAATGCATGGCAAGCTCACTGGCTGTGGTACTGGTAAAAAATTTGGCTTTTAGTGTACTACATTATTGTAATTTTTAATGCCAGGTTTGCCATGGGAGTGAGTGATTTTCAGCTATTTCACAATTATAAGTATTCACGAAAGCCTTAATATACATGTCTCTTCTGATTTTCTTTATTTTTTTTGTTTTCTTTGTCTAATACTGTGAGAGCTCTTACAACTCCCTTGGAGTTATTTTAAGTTATATGTTTGCCTTAAGTGAAAGTATTGTTTACTTCTTTTACCTTGAATTAGAACAAAATCCAGGTTTCAAGAGAACTGGAATCTGAAGTTTTAACAAGATAGACTTATAGTAAAATCCAAGCTTCACTTGGATTTTACTTACTTTGTTTTTATAACAATTTCTTTTAAACTTGTTTATGTTATTTTTAGATTATTTCTTTGAACTTAACATACAGGGGAACTAAAACTTAAATTGGTGAGAGCTTTTCACTAAAGGTTTCTCTTCACTTTTATACATCTATGGGACACGTGCCTTTCCATTTTGTATTGTTCTGTATTATTTTTTGTTTTGTTGTTGATAAACATTTGTATTTGTGTGTCATCTGATCCTTTGTGTAATGAACCCACTTGCAGATTGGGGAGAAACAGATTCCTACACCTGATATCCTAGAGTCTCCAGCTAGTGAACCTTACTGTCTACACTGGGGTACATCTGTGAGCTGGAAAATACCACAACTCTTGGTAATTCATCAACAACATGACATGAGTTTTACTCTAGAATGTAAAAACCCTGACAGAATGCAGCACTAAATAGTGTTATTTGCAGCTTCTCAGACAGAAGTATGTACTTGAAACTATATCAAAGACCAATTATTTTTAAAATGAAAGAGCTATATAAGGTATATACATATTTATCTGGTATTTTCCACTTCCACATTTTAATTAACCTACAACAACATTTTATGAGTAAAAGATAAACAATATAAAACTTGTATGTTTATAACAATAAATTTTTTACCATTTATCACATCTTGTCGTTTCTTTTCCTTGGGTTTCATTAGACGTAACTCTTCTACATTAACATTTTCCTGCCAGTTTGGTTGGTCTGCCTCTGCTTCCAGATCAGAGTCATTGTAGTGGTGAAAAGTGGATGATAATCCACTTGATGGAAGAATTCCAGGAGAAGGACTGGGGCCTGTGACGGGGTCTGCTGGGGTTCCTGAGGGGGTTCGATGGACCATATCTACAGAAGTACATGGGCTTTCCAAACTTCTATTAAGAGAATATGAAAAAATTGTACTGGTGATAAGCTTAACTGCTCCTTTACTCATTATCATGATATTTTCATAAAATAAATCTTGTAAAACCAAATATGAGAACATTCACACATTATTGAATAATGAGATGGTGGTTCAATTAAAATGTTTATTTTTGTTAAAAACTAAAATTTGCAGAAATTGACACCAGTGTTAGAATTTATACATTTTTAGGGTAAGGACTTCTAAATTACATCCAGAAATGTAAAACTGATTCTGAATACTTCATACACATGTATGCATAAAGACGTTTTTCTTTAGTAAAGGGTTTAATAGCAGAAAACTTGTAAGGTGCTAATATATTAGACATAACATTTTAAATGATTTGTTGCAAAATTGCACAATGGACTATTTGCCCTCTTTACACTACAGGAAATCAAACCCTGGACTTTAGTATTTTAATTCTGTAAGTTTACTGCTGACCCACTGGGGAACCTCACTGACTATATATATATATATATATATATATATATATATATATATAGTAGTAAGTAACGTAAATATATATATATAATTAAACTTAAACTAAACTAACTACTAAGTAAACGTAAAACGTAAAACGTAAACGTTAAA